AGGATGCTTTACGCATATCCCATGTGGGGCCAGTTGGAAGGTGTCCCCGGGGATGAGAACAGAGGAAAAACATAGCAAGGAAGTCCCAGGTATCAGCGGACATAGGCATTTAGTTGGAGAAACCCACGTGTGATGGGGAAGAGGGAGTCTTGGAAAAGGAGAATCAGGATGTCTGGGGGCACAGGCGTTGAGGGCAAGAGGATGAGCTGCGGGAAGTGCTCAAGGATGATGTCCTGGGAAGACAAGATAGGGTGTCTTGGAGCATAAGAAAGCCCCTGGTTTCCCTAACAGCACCCTGGTCCTCCAGGTCACCGGGAAGTGCGGCTGGAGTTCACAGCCTCCCCCCAGGCACCTCCGGCTCCACGCTTCAGGGGCACTGCTCCCAGACCACTCCCGCCCAGGCATGGAACCCTGGTTTGGTTACATGGGCCAATATAGTTCCCGTTGCTGCTTCAGCTGACTCACACAGAAGAGAAAAAGCAGCCCAAGAACAGTCTGGAGGGACGAGGTTCCGAGGTGGTGAGCAGTCGGGGCAGGCGGGGAGGGGCAAACCCAGAGAACATCACCATTCACCTTTCTGGATTTAATGCAACACGTTCTGCGCAGTCCCCTGCCTTTGCATTGCCCAACCCAATGTTAGTTGGTAGGAACTTTCTACACATGTCTCTGAATACATCATTCCCACAGGCCCCAAAGCCCAGGTCCCATTCCTGAGTTAAAAGGCTCTGTTTGACGTGAGCCTACACATTACCAGACCCTTAAAAGTCAGCCATGGCAGACTTTCCCCCAAGCATGCCATCCCTTGCCTCTAAGCCTAGAAATGTGCTGTTCCCTATCTCTGGGATACTCCTTCTGTATGGCCACCTCCCCAGTTCCTGTTTCCTCAAAGCACCACCTCACTTTGACCTTAAACTCAATGTTCCTTTGTCAAGGGCAGTCTCTCGCTCACCCTCAGAGCAGTCTTGCCACTCTCCCCCAACTGTCCCCTCCTACACTGGAGCTGTACCCCAGGGCTCTACCAGACTCCCGGCCAGGCTGCCCTCACCAGTACCTGCCTCATTCTCCTATCCGCTCCTGTCCTTGGCCGCTCGGGGCCACGCTTGTCAGCCCTCGTCCCATGTCCCCCTACGCATGGTAAGAGCCCCTGGTATCTGACTCTTTGTCCCGTCATTCTGTGCTATTCCTTTTTGGGATCATGGCCCTTCCTACATATTCCATATCTTTTTTAAAAACCATATCCACTAATTTTCTATTTTAAAAAATATATTTAAATAAAAATTAAGTTAATGGAAAGAAAACATTAAATAATACAGGTGGTACAAGGACACTGCATGGTAGACGTTGCAAAATGTGATTCAGATGACATTTTGGTGCCCTTTCCAGATGCCCTTAGACCCCTTTTACTGTTTCTGGGTATTCCTCTCTGGGGTTTGGTGGGCTTTGGCCTCCAATGGTTGGCTCCTGTCCTCAGGTCGCTGAGGCTGCTTTGCTTTCATTCCCAGGGAGCCAGGATAGCCCTAGGCTTAGCTGATATGTGAGTAGGATAGCCCAGCTCCCAAAACCGACTTTGGGACAGCTCTGAGAGTCTGTGTCTGGAACGGAACCCAGTATACAGTGGGCACTTGATAAAAGTTTGTTTAACCAACAAGTGTAGCCAAACTTAAGGATCTTATGCTCTGTGATTTCTGGAGTTTTTGTCACTCTTAGGCCTTTCCCACCCAAGATCAAAAGAGCATTTACTTGTATTTGTTCTGGTGTATTTACTTACTTATGAATTTTGTGTATTTAATGATTTGATCTACCTGACGTAAATATGGCGAATCAGTTGTCCCAATAGCAATTCTTGAATTTTTCCTTTACTGTAAAACCAAGATACTATCTTATTTATGACTTGGTGAGTCACAGGGGTAGTTAGAATGATTATATCGCCACATGAAAAAAATCCTTGTAATTTTAACCATTTTTTAAAAATAGCTACATAAAAATGATGTCAACATCTAGGCAAGGACAGGGAGAAATGGAGGGAAATAGATTGATTTAAGGATGGGGCTGTGGGTGAGTTTTTCTTTGATTTCTATTACTATTGATGACATTTTTTTTTAAAAAATGGAAACTTTAAATGAACAGAATATGGAGGGGAAGAAGGCCTTAAAAGAAAGCAAGCTGTTTCCTTGCCTGAGCCTGAGGCAAACACTTGGCTGAAGACAGGTTTTGTTTTTGTTTTTGTCTTTTTGGAGGTGATCTCAGGAAGCTAGAGGATGCCGGTAGAGGAAAATTATTGGAGGCCCCTGTGGTGTCACCATGAGAGGAAAGTCCAGACAGTGAGAATCTGTGTATGAAAACCACTTCCTCTGGCCGTGCACCCCGAGCTCTGAGCTCCTCCCCAGCCTCAGTCAAGTGAGCAAAACCTCGGCAAGTCCCCCACCCAAAAGGAATCAGGCCTCAGGAACGTGGACCAGCGAGTCCAAATGCTCCCATCACATCGCCCTGGCTAATGGGATGCAGCATCACCCAAGCAGCAGGGATGCTGTGCTCTGTGGCTATAGGCTAGGAATTGTAAAAGGAACCATATCTCAGGAAAATCCCTTTCTGGCTCCTTAGAATTCAGTCGTCTTTAAAATTTGAATTCCGAATACATTTAAATCTTCCAGACTAGGGGTAAGCCATACCTCCCCGTCCTAACAAATGGGAAGAGCATTAGAAGTAGGGACAAGGGCTATCCCTGGTACCATGAGGCCCTAACCTGGTCTGTGCTTGGGAGGGTTAGGCACGGCATGTCCTGGAGCCCCGGCTACCTAACTAGGGCTTGCCTTCCCAACCGGAACGGCACTTTACTTAATCTTCACTTAATCTTCAGGACTTGGCTGTCCCCGGCAATTCACTGGGGTCCCAAAGGTGAAGAGCAAGGTACTGACGGGGAACAAAGGCCAAGGGAACTGCCACCAAGACCCGCTCATGTGCAGAGCCAGGATGTCACTTGAGGTCTAGCTTTGGGGGCAGAACACCCACTGCTTGCCTAGCTACCTTTCATAGCAGTTTCCCTGAAGTGGTCTCCCACCTGCCTCAGCCCCAGGAGCCCTGTCCCAGAGCTGTCTCCCACACGGGACGCTCACGGGGCTCCCCCTAATGCGGTGACCAGAGAGGTCTGCCGGCTGCCCCTTGTCAGAAGCAACTCCTGATGAGTACAATAAATTTTTGGAGGGGCTCGCTCGTCCCCCGTGAGCACTCGACCTGGTTGCAACCAGATCCGTGCTCCAGGGTATGCGGAGGAGAAAGGTCCCATCGGGCCTCACCTTCTTTAAGGCACAGCAAGCCTGGACGAGCCTACAAGGCCTGAAGTGCGCGCGCAGCACAGCGCCCCGCCGCAGGGCTCTCTGCGCGGCAGCCCGCCCACTCAGCCTGGTCCCTACGTAACGCTCCCTCCCAAGTCCTCCTGATTGGTGGAGAGCGCGCGCGAGTGTTCCTTCCCCGCCTCCAGATCCGAGCTCCTGCGGCACTGCCCCGCCCCCTGATTTACAAAGCTGCCTGTGTGGCTTCCAAGTTGGAACTCGAAGGCGCGGGCACGACAGGGCTCCGACGCGGAGGCTGAAGGGGCACTTTCCCGTCATGCTCGTGGTCTGGCCGTCGCCCCAGGCTTGACAGTGGCTGGCAACTCTTCAGAAGCACAGTCTGTGCGCAGCTCGACCCGCCACAGGTCCCTTCCTCTCCTCAGCCTTCAATCTGCTCCCCTGGCCCCCTTTCTGCAGAGCACCCAGAAAAGCTCATTGCCGGGGGCCCCCTCGAAGGCTACACCACTACATGCCAGGAGATTGGTCCTCGAGGACTCAGCAGCGAGCTCTAGGGCACAAAGCTGATGCGGGTTCCGCCGGCACCCCACTCCTGGAATCTCCAGCCCTGCCTGCAGACACCCCGCTCCTGACCCCTACTCACTCCTTAGTTTCTCATTCCCGGATCCCTCCGAATCTCCCCGCAACCCCGGGGACTTCCTTACAGCAGCACCCAGGACCCCTCCGAGAACCGCCTCGGTATAAGCCACCATTCCTTGGCAGCCTCTGCATCGGCACACCCGGGCCCTCCTGCCTACGTTCCTGCTCCTCGGTTCCCGAGCCGGGACGCCCCTCGACATCGCCTCCAAAGCACGCTCACGGGATCCCCCCCCACTTCCATCCCACTGTCCACCCCATACTTCTCTTGCCTCTTCCGGGTAAATATCCCTCCCCAGGGCCCACCCTCACTCCCGCAGCCATGCGATCCCTCCTCACCGCCCAGGTCTCCACACCGCGCACCACCTTGTACCCCACCACACACCCACGAGCCCTGCTAAGAGCCCCACGCCTCTCACCCCACTGGTCTGCCAGACTCCTCCCCACATCCCTCACACCCTAGGCCCCTCACCCCACCCATTTTTCCAGCCCCCAGACACCCCCCATATGCCCCAGGCCCCTCACATCTACCGCCAGAACCCCTGTGAAATCCCCTACACTCCTAACTCTTACCTCACTCATCTGCCAAGGACCCCCCAAAGCGCGCGGCCCCTCCCGCCCCACACTCACCGCCTCCATCTCACCCCGCACCCCTCTCCCCCCGGGGCTGGCTGGCAGAGCCGCCGGCGGCGACGGAGGCCGGTCCCTGGGCCGGGACACACCCACCCGCCCGCCCTCCTTCTTTCCCTCGCTCCCTCCCTTCTTCCCTCCCTCTCTCCCGCCCTCGCTCCGCGTTCGCTCCTTCCCCCTCGCCAGCTCCCGCTTCCCCCGGCGCCCGGCCTCCCTCTCCACCTCCCGGTGCGCGGCTCTCCCGGGCGCGGCTCCGGGGTTCATGGTGACGAGGCGGCGGCCGCTCAAGCCCAGCGGCGGCGGCGGCGAGAGCTGGGACACCGGCGCGGGCCGCCTCTCCCAAAGCGCGGGGCCGGGCGGCGGGCGCGCCCAGGCGGCGGCGGCGGCGAGCGCCCCCCCGGCCCGCGGCCCCGCGCGCCCCCCGCGCCGCGCCCCCGCGCGCCTGGCAGGCGGGGGGCCGGGCCGGTGGGCGGCCGCCGCGCCGCGCACCCATGGACGGCCCGGCCATCATCACCCAGGTGACCAACCCCAAGGAGGACGAGGGCCGGGCGCGGAGCGCCGGCGAGAAAGGTGAGGAGGGGCACGGGCAGCTGTGGACCGGGGGTGTGTGCACAACCCGCACCTCCGGAGTTTGCTGTCCAGCGCTGGCACCGCCTAGGGGACGGGTGTGCCCGGCCGCGAGGGTGCGGGGGTGTGGGGTACCCCCGCAGGGCAGGCTGTGAGTGTGCGTGTGCCGGCGGAGATAGGCCAAGCGTGCCTGCGCCAGCGGGGAGCGTGTGGGTTGTGCGTGCATCTCAGCAGGAGGTCGTGAGTGTGCGGGGTGACCCTGGCCGGCTGGGAGTTTGTGTTTGCGCTCACGCCGACAGAGAAGTTGTGAGCGGGTGTGTGTTCCTGGCAGGTTGTGAGTGCGTGTACCCTGGTAGGTTTTGTGTGTGCACTAGACAGAGGGGTTAGAAGGATGTGTGTGCACAAGACAGAGGCTGTGACTGTGGGCATGTGCCTGATGGGTTGTGAGTGTGTGTGTTACTGTGTGTGCACACTCCAACTAATATTGTAAGGATGGCTGTGTGCCTAACAGGCTGTGAGTGAGTGTTTCCCTGTTTCCCTAACGGGCTGTGAGTTTGTGTATCTTATGTAGAGGTTTGTAGGTACCTCAGAGGTTGTAGGATATGTGTGTGTGCGCGCGCATGTGTGCAGGCACATGCGTGCGCGCCTGAGATTGGGGGGGGCCGGTGGGGGGGCACGGGGGATGTGAGAGAGATAGAGACATCTTTGCTTGCATAAGTGTGAGCCTGCAGAGATGTATGTGTATTCACTCCTGATGGAGTTTGTGTGTGTGTGTGTGTGTGTGTGTGTGTGTGTGTGAGAGAGAGAGAGAGAGAGAGAGAGAGAGAGAGAGATTATGTTCCCATGCCACTGAGTGGGCACTGGGAGAGTGTGTGTGTGCACTCACACACTAAGGCTGTGTATGCAGATGTGTGTGCCTGCCTGTGCTGTATGTGTCCACCAGACAGTGAGGCTGTGTGCCTGGGTATGTTTAGGTGGTTGTGCAAGTGGTAGTTGCGGGCGGGCGGGGAGTGCACAGTGCTAAGTGCCCCGCCCCTGCTCTTTGCAGTCTCAGTGACACCAGCCTGTTAGGGGCACCTGCAAAGCCTGGTTCTCCCTGGGCCCATTCGGGACCCAGCTCTAACAGGTACTCAGGGAGCCCTAAGGGTGCCAGGTGGGTCCTTTTCCAGTGAGCCAGCACTGTGCTGCTGCTGCACATGGTTTGGTTTGGGCACATTTTGGTCCCATCACTCTCTTCTCTTTCCTTCTTCCTCTTTTCCTTTTCGTCTCTGCCCCTCTCTGAGACTTGGTGACCTGCTCACGGTTCCTCACTGAGCTGTCCTGAGGGGTGGACAGGCTGTTTTTGAAGGGCCAAGGAATCTGGCTTGTTTTGTTCTGGTGACTAAAGTTCACCTCACTTTCTTACTGCTATGCCCCAGTAAACACCTGGATGGAGGTCAGGCGCAGCCCACCAGGACCTCTGCAAGCCTGGCCTGGCCACGCCTGACTTTGAAACAGGGTCAGATTTCTTTCAATGTGTTGTCACCCTTGCTGTGCCCGTGGGGTGAGGTGCGCAGCCCATCGGAGGAAGCCAGGTAGCGCGAGGGAACACTCCACTGTGTCTCCCCAAGCAGGGACCTCCAGCCCACCTGGAAAATGCAAGAAACCACCAGAAGTATCTTCAGATTGGGGAATTTGTCAACCCATTGGCACTTTTGTAGACTGTAAACATTGTGTCTGCAGACTTGTTTTCTTTTCTGTAAACTGAGAATTCAAGCTCCCCCAGGCATTTTTCTGTGCCTTTGTACAAACTGGCTAAAAAAATTCTACAAGAGGGTGGCTCCAGGTAAACCTCCATGTCAACCTGGGGCCTAAGCTGGCAGCACCTAGGTGGTCTGATCGTCCTGCCATAAGAATTGTCAGTTTTGGGGCCCTGGCCTGCAGGCTCTGGGCTGGGTGTGTCCCCTCCGGTAGAGGCATCAAGGAGGTCTGATGCATGTGCTCCTCACCCGCTGTGGATTGAGTGCTTTGTGTGATGCTTTGCCAGAGAGAGAATCCACAGCTCTGCGAGGAGAGGCGTGGTATAAAGCAAAGAAGTATTTGGAGAGGCGTGGCATAGAGCAAAGAAGTATTTGTCAGGGCCTCGGCCCTCCTACCGGCCCACACCTGACTCCTGGAGCTGGGGCCTCCCCAGTTTTCTGTTTCCCTCTAGCTGCTAGGCTTTTTAGAGTCCATCTATCCAAAATCCAAACCATGTCCAAATACTCAGGACCGTGCATGTTCTGTTCTACTTGTTTACACTGCTTTTCACCACAGTCTTTTATCATCTTTAACAGCTCATTTTGTTTGTTTTCTAGTGTCAGACTGGTTGATTGTTAACTGATTAGAGAAATTCTTTGCCTTCTTGATCTGGGGTAGGATAGCTAGCTAGTAGCTTCTTGCTGAAACATTAAAAATCCTACCTGATTTTTTCTTTCATTTTAAAAAAATGGAAATAATTTTGGTTAACTGTAGTGTGGCGATAAACTTGGAGCCAAACTTTGGAACAGCTTCTTTAGATTCATAAACCACTCAACAGGTTTAGCAATGCTGCTAACTTAAGCATGCTGATGTATTTAGATAGGCGCAATATATTTTACATAACTTCAGGTAAACACTTAATCATTTTGTTTTTGAATATGGGACCTGGAATGTTGCAGGTTTTGTGGTAGGAAAGAAATGGTTGGTTTTAAAAGATTACTTTCATCCTTTATTCCGTGAAATGGGAATCATAACGACTGCCCCTTTGGTTTGCTAGGAGAGGATGGATGTTAAGGATTCTGCCTGGGTCGCTGGTGTGTCACTATTTTATAAGCCTTGCTTAAAGTGTGGATTTGTAAAGGAAGGGCTAAGCGTGGGCTGTAGTGTTTTGCACGAACTGAATTACTTGTTGACGCACTGTTATGTGGTAGTGTACCACTCAGAGATGACTGTCACAATTGTCACTGTCAGCCTGGCCCGTCATGGAAGTTTTACTTCTTAGTTGCGTTTGACTTGATTGATAGTGTAAAAATGCAGAACCAAATTTCCCCGGGAGTTTAATTCAGCCTGCTTTGCTATCTGGAAACTGACTCTTACAAATCAATAAGAAAAAGTCAATGCAGCAGAAAAGTAGTCAAGGGATATAAACAGGAAAGTCATAGAAGAGGAAATCCAAATGCCCAATAAATATATGAAGTGACACTCCACTTCATATGAAACATTCTCATGCCAGCTTGGTTAAACATTTAAATGACTGACAACATCCTAAGTAAATAAAAGTTTTAGGAAATGGATACTCTTAAAGATTTTTGTGAGATCATTTTTGTGAGTACTGATTTTTTAGAGAGTAATTTAGTACTGAATCATTTGGCTACAAGTTAACAGAAAACCAGGCTCATACTGCAGCTTACACCAGTGTAGGAGTTCCTTCTTCTCACCTAACATGCAGCCTGGAGATGGGCTACTGCCGGCCTTGATTCCCCACCTCATTGGTCAGGGCTGACATCATCCTGAGTCTCTAAGGCTTTCCTGCACGTAAGAGGGCCCGCCACCCCTCGGGCCCGCCACCCCTCCGGACACCACTGCCACCCTCAGGGCCGAAAACAGGGACGGTGCTGGTAGTGTCTATCCCTTTTACCCAGAAAGCAAAAGCATTCCTAGGGTCACCTTAGCACACTTTTGCTGATGTTTAATTGGCCAGAACTGGGTCACGTGGCACCCCTAGCTATAAGCAAAGTGAATTTCCAGCTTTTTTAGCCTTTGTTGTGGGAGGAGGAGAGATGATTGGAAATGAGTGGGAACAGGTGGTGGGTAGTTCAGTCAGTCAACAATGTTGGCCATACCTTCAAAGCTCCAGTTCTAGTTCTGGGTTTCTCTCCTAGGGAAATAATCTTCATATGTGCTCAAAGAAACATGTACAGAACTTTCACTGATGGCTACATTGCTTCCAACAGCCAAAGCTGGAGCCTTCTTGAGGGTCAGTGGGCAAACAATTAGACTACGGTGCATCGATACCAGACTATTGCAAGCAATTGAAAAGAATGAGTTAAATCAGATCTAAATACACTGACATGTAAATTTCCAAGACATTTTAAAGGCAGGGGCGGGGGGCAGGGGATGAGAGGAATTTGAAAAACAGTATAAATAGTATGATTCTGTCTTCCTAAAAACACTCACATGCAAAGCTGTATGTATGTCTAGAAATACAAAAATCTAGAAAGAAATACTTGAAACTGACAACAAAGATTTTCTCTGGAGAGAAGACTGGGATGGAAGTGAGTGAAATTACAATGTACCTGTGTTTTACAGATGAAATTTTTTAAACTAAAATAGAAAAGAACATCCCCCTAACTGTTTGGAGGAAAAGAGACATTAGTAATTTAAGGGAATTGAACAATAATCAAACAAAAAGCCCTCAATTAAAATGCAGTATTAGCAAGAACATATCAACTCTAGCTAAATGGTTACTTTGTAAGCTAATACATGCCCCTTGACTAGATTTTTGTAGGCAAATTTGTTTTCCTAGATATTTTGGCCCAAGGTGCTAGGTAGATTTCTCCCAAATGTTTGCAGCACTTAAACTTAACTTAGAAACCTTTAACCTTTGAGCTGCTAACAAAATTACATCAAGAAGACTCTTGGGAGCTATAGTTCTTTCAGATGCCAGAGATTTGAAGTAGATTCAGTCTAACTTTTTAAAATTAGACATTTTATTTAAAGATAACTGTAGATTTGCATGCTGTTGTAGGAAATCACACAGAGATCTCCCATCCCTTCTACCCACTTCCCCCCGGATGTTAACATCTTGCAAAGCTATAGCACAAAATCCGAATGTTGACATAGTCACAATACAGAAAATTTCCATCCCCAGGAAGGTCCCTCATGGTGCCCTTTTATAGCCACACCTCCGTCCCTCCCATCCCTACCTGCGACTTATTGGCAGCCACTAGTCTGTTCTTCATTTCTGAGGCGTCGTCATTTTAGGAATGTATATAAGTGGAATC